AAAAAAAAAAAAAAAAAAAAAAAAAAAAAAAAAAAAAAAAAGCACAAAGAACACAGGTTTTCTGTTGTTCAACAAATCCCAAGATCCCACTGAGTATTAAGTATTATAAAGCTAAATTTTGCATGGTTCTTGTCATCAGAAATATCCAGGCTTGTCAAGAAGACCGATGAAGAGCTTTCCCTGTGTGGCCTTTGTACAGAAACATCATGGGAGCTGCCCAGATGAAGGTGCAGTACACTCTGGATGAGACGAGAGAAGTCCAGGAGGAAGCTTGGAAATGACCCAGAGGGATGCATAGGAATGCTCTGGATACAGAGGGACGGTGAGAAGGGCACTGTGTGGTAGGGGCAGTGACAAGGGAAGCATGACACAATATGACTGCTGCCTTTGGATAGACAATATTAATCTTCTTGATTTTTGAGTTGACAGGAACAATCAGAGCAAACATGGTTTATTTATTTATTTTTTAAAGTTATTTATTTTTATGTGCATTGGTGTTTTGCCATGGGTGTTGGGTCACCTGGAACTATAGACAGTTGTGAGCCACCATGTGGGTGCTGGGAATCAAACCTCTGGAAGAGCAGCCAGTGCTCTTAACCCCTGAGCCATCTCTCCAGCCCCCAAACATGGTTTATAAGCCTGAAGGTCCTGGAAGTTCCTATGAGCAATCCATAGCCTCACATGCTGCTGTGAGTAACCTGTCCAGAGGCAGGGCAAATTTAGGCATCATTGCTGGTTAAATAGACAACTGAGGTGTGTATTAAGGTGATAATATGAATCTTTGTATCTCCCTATCCGAGAATGCATAGATTGAAGTCCTAAGTATCAATGTAGTAGTGTTAGGCAATGGGGCAATTAGGTCACAAGACCTAATTGATAACAGGATTGGTACCCTCATTAAAGAGCCTTCAGGCGGTGCTCCTGCTTTCTTCCTTCCAATAAGGATACCACAAACCAGCTGTCTCTCCAGAACCATGGTTCTCACCCTGTGGGTGGTGACCTCTTAGGGATCAAATGACCCTTTCACAGGGGTTGCATATCAGATATTCTGTATATTAGATATTAACATTGCAAATCATTACAGTAGTAAAATTACAGTTATGAAGTAGCAGCAAAGATAATTTTATGGTTGGGGATCACCACAGCCATGAGGACTGTATTAAAGGATTGCAGCATTAGGAAGGTTGAGAACCACTGCTGTAGAGCTTCTTGTAGATATTGATGCTTAAGATTCATTAGGAGCTGGGTGGTTGTGGCCCACACTTTTAATCCCAGCACCTGGGAGGCAGAGACAGGCAATCTCTGAGTTCAAGGCCAGCTTAGTCTACACAGTGAGTTCCAGGACAGCCAGCACTACATAGAGAAACCCTATCTCAAAAAACAAACAACAACAACAATGATCATTAGGATAGTGATCCAACAAATGGCCAGTTATAGAGAACTCTTACACCTCTTCCTCAAATTCTAGCCTCTAGCTGGAAGAAGAAGTTTGGGAAGATTACTGACTAGGTTCAGTTTGTAATCCAAAGACACATGTCCACTCCTGGGTCAGTCTCTGACCAGGAAGTTTTATATGAGAGCAGTATGGCTTCTTGGGTCCTACTCTTCCAACAAGATGGCTGGAAATTGACCTTGGAGAGGAAGGAGGATTGGAAAATTCAAGAATCAGAAATTTACTTGCAAGGAAGGTCATTCAGATAGGATATAATAAAATATTGGATTGGATGAAAATGGGGTTTAGTCATGTGAGTCTATCAGACCAAATTGGTTATGATTGTCAAGACAAGTCTACAATTATTGGCATTGCAAGAACCTTAGATACTGCCTACTGTAAGTTAGGTAAAGTATCATGTTTCGAGTTCTTCTTAAGTGGCCACCATGGCACTTTAGATGGCACAGTGGTTAGGAGCACTGGCTGCTCTTCCAGAGGTCCCAGGTTTGATTCTCAGCACCCACATGGTGGCTCACAACTGTCTCTGACGTCAGTCCCAGGCATATTGAATACCTTCTGGCCTCCAAGGGTGTCAGGTATGCATATGGTACACAGACATACATGCAGTAAAATACCTGTAGGCATAAAATAAAAACAATGAAATTTTAAAAAATTAAGTGACGTGGCCACTCTGACAGATTTTAGTACTTCTTCACTTAAATGGTAGGGACTTAGAAACGGTTTTCTTTTCAACAGCTTAGTGACCCTTCCAGAAGTGTCATCTGAAACAGCAGCTTATGAAGGCTGGGAACAGGAGAGGGACATTCCCCATGTCACAACCATATCTGCCCTCTGAAGCAGGAATTGCAATCCCTTTTAAGGTGAGTAGCATGCTGTATGAGGGAGCAGATTTTCCCAGATCCAATAGCTGAAAGGGAGAAGCGGGACTCTGGCCTACCTGGATCACAGTCTACTGCCACATGCTCCCATGGCTCTTCCTTTTTCCGCTGAGGCCTAGCCAGGCAAGCCTTCCTCAAAATGGCATTCACTTTAATTGATGGTTGACATTGGAGGAGAATGTGTGGAGGGGACAGGTTATAGTTGACCCTGCAAATCTGTGGGTTCAGCACTCATGACTCCAAACTGCAGACTGAAAATATTTGAAACATATATTTGTATAGAGAATGTGGAAACATTTTTCTTATTATTCCCTAAACAATACTGCATAACAGCCATGTCCACTGCATCCACACTGTATTACGTGATGACGTAAAGTGCAGGAGAGATATGCATGGGTTATATGTAAGTGCTAGAGCATTTTCTATGAGAAATTTGAACACACCTAGATTCTGGTATCTGTGGGGTTCCTGGCACCAATCTCCCATGGGTCCTGAGGGACAAGTATACAAATTTGGTAAATATCTAAACCATGTGTTCTAGAAGTCTTCAGAGACATTTAACAAAATTGTTACTTGTAATTAACCTTGAGTAAACCCCCCAATGCAAAGTGTCTTATCTGTCCAATAGAGCCCTCCTAAGACCACACAAAGCTCTGGTTTCTGGAGACAACAGATGTCATTGCTCTCATGAATAATATCAGCACTTTGCACACAAGTGCATCAAGGAAGGAGTGTATGCAGATGGAGATGGGGTGGGGGGGCAGTACTGGAGTCTCTCTGAGGTCATGCCAGGCCCCAATGTAGCTTTAGATGCAGGGGGTATTTGAAAGAGTTGGTCTGGACCTGAGAAATCCCAGGATAGACCAAATGGCAGCTGGAGAGGCAGACACCCTCGGCCAGACAGGAGCAGCTGAAGACAGCTCAGCCTGTGTTGACTTAGAAAGGTCAGAAGCATAGAATGGGTTCCCAAACTTGAGGTGCCAATCAAATCCCTAGTTCTCAGATTTAGAGTAGTGGCCTTTAATCCTGGCACCCAGGAGGTAGAGATGGGCAGCTCTTTGTGAGTTCAAGGCCGGACTGGATTATATAGAGACTTCCAGGTCAGCCAGGGCTGCATAGTGAGACCCTGTCTCCAAACAACAGCAGCAGCAGCAACAGCAACAAAGCTGCTTCTCGGGAAACCTGCCTGTGTGTTTGAGAGGGCGGTAGAGGTAGCATTTGACAGGTGCTGCAGGTAATTTCATATAGGCAGGACTTGGGACACAACTGGTGACAGGTTTTCCTCCCTGTATTCAGTGCTCTGCTCTACATATTGAGAGGGTTTCCAGGACAGTTTTGAGCACTGCAAGGCTCGTAGGTGGCCATACCTGGGAAAGGAATCCAGATGACAGACCCTTACTGCTCCATCTGGCAGTGTCTTGTGTGTGTCCATGTGGGTGTCCAAACAGGACAGTGTTTCTCTTTCTGGAGGCCGTGGCTCAGGTCCAGGACAAAAACCACTCCCAGTCTCAGGTCCCAGGATCACACAGGATGATTTATTCAAGAGCTCAAAAGAAAATGAAATGTGTGGATTTAGCCGACAATTATTTGTGTACTTTTCCCTTGACAAATAGTCCCCATGCTTGGCCTGGGAGACAAGCCAGGTTCTCAGAAGTGCCTTCTAAGGGTCCCTAGACTTTCCCCAGCAGGGAGGCCACATGAAAGTGTTTCAGGTGGCACCACGCTGCCCCCATGACAGTTCTTCACAGGGCAGAGGGGGAAAGGCAAGAGTCCTGTCTGGAAAAACGAGACAGGCTGGGCCTGAAGCACTGATTTCTGGTTCAAGTTTCCCAACAAAATTTGAAGAAGGAACTTTCCATTTCTCCTTGTTCTTATTCACCTTGGCAGTCTGTGGTGTCCCAGATGAGTGCAGGGAAAGCCTGCTCTGGGTGGGCTTCTGGCCAGACCTGCTCATCAAATGACTAGACCCTGTGAGGGTCCAGTGTGCCACTTGCTCACATTGGTCAGAAAAGGCCTCCACCTGCTTGCCTTCAGCTCCACTTTAGCCATTTTGCTCTGTGAAGATCTGGCCAGACTTTGAGCCTGAGAACCTATAGCTAGCCACATCATGTAAGCTGTCACCTGTGGATATGAACTTAAGTGAGTGCCATGGTCAGTAAATATGAACTAAATAGCTAATGCTATTTTATGTCAGATTCTGGGAACCAAAAAGTAAGATACAACCCTTCTCTTCAGAGTTTAGGGTCTATGGGAATGAGGGCTGGGCAAATATTAGCCGGGGGTGGGGGGCTCAGATAAAAGTGACAAGAAAGCAACAGAGAGATTGGGGATGTAGTCTGGATAGAGACATCAGGCAATACTTCCCAGAAGAACTGGCGCTCGCCCTGGGTCTTGAAGGGTGATTGGGACTGTAGAGAGAGTAGATGAGATTGAGGGAAAACATGTAGGATCATGGTGGTTAGTGTGTACCTGCTGCAGGTAGGTACATCTAGTAGCCTGCAGTTGCTAGTAGGTAGATAGACAAAGGAATGAGGAAGCCAGGTGTGGTGGTGCATGCCTTTAATCAGTCGGTAGGCAGAGGTAGGTAGATCTCTGTGGTTGGCTGCTCCCATGGACTCCAGGGTCAGAAAGCCTCCATCCCAAACCTGATCTTTTGCTTTGCTACATAGGAGCTATAGGGAAGTTTCTTAGATTCTCTGTACTTCAGTGTCCTCTTCTCTAGAAATGGATAGACAAACTACACAGTAAAACTCTTGCCCATCCCTGCTTTCGTTGGTTTAGCTTTTGTTGTTATCACTTGTCCCTGAGGTACCTGGTGTATCACTTCACGATAGTTTTAGCTATCTGGCAACACACGTGACAAATCCTATCAAATGACAAATACTTTGGGGAGGGGGTCCTTTAAAATTCAGGAGGTCTAAAATAGAAGTGTTTCTTGGGCAGAAAGTTCAAAGGGTAAGCAAGCCAATGCCAGTTGTCATTGGAAAATTTGAAGATTCCCAAAAGAATTTTGCAAAGTAGCCTTGGCACTGTCCCTATGGAACTATAGGTGCCATGATGTGTGGTGTTTTGTGTTGTCAGATACAGCATACCAAAAGAATAGGTCATGAATTACAGCAAAACAACCCTCTGTTGAGTACTTGCGTAACTACTGTGCAGGCCAAGCAACAGCACACAGACAGCACTCCTTCCTGCCACACCCCTACCACCAAGAGCAATTCTCATCTTGACTTTTACACCCCTCCACCTTGATTAAATCCTGCCACACCTAAGTATGCACTCCTGGTCTCTCGGGTTGTCTCTGACCTCTGTGCAGTGGAATCCTGAGCATGAGTTCTTGAATCTGGCTTCTCTCTCCCTACACCACCCCATTTGTGTGAAGCCGCACTATTAGAACACATCAGAGCTAAATTCACTTGACTCTCAATGGCCATTTGCACTATTTCCAGTTTGAGACCTATTAGAACAGTACTGACGGGAACATTCTTGTCTGTGTCATGCACTCTGCATCCACGTTGTGCACTATGCATCCATGTTGTGAACTCTGTGTCTGTGTTGTGCACTATTCACCTGTGTTGTGCACTCTGCATCTGTGTTGTGCAGTTTCATTAGGATTCTCCTACACGTTGAGTTGTTGGTCCATAAAAGTGGGAGCATCTTCATCTTCAGAAGATATACTGAAGTGGCATTTCACAGTTACACAGCCTACACTGCTAAGAAGCACTCCCAGCTCTATGCATGCTCACCCAAACCCGTTCTCAGTGATCTTTTTCAGGTTTCATCATCTAAGCTGTGGGGCATCCCAAACACACAATGAGAGGTTTATTGCTGCCAAATTAATTTCAGGCCTAAATGTATACTTGTGTGTGATCATAATGCATGTCTTCTCCTGAGAAGATGACTTGATGACTCCTTAACACACAAAAGACTGTTGGAAACTACTGGATGGCTTTAGAGTCCCGCTGGCAGCAGGCTAGGAGGTAGGTTGGGAGGAGATAAAATAGGACTTCAGGAAAGTTTGTAAGATGGAAAATAAAGGCAGGAATAGAGAGAATCAAGGATACATCCAGTCTGGGTTGAGAGACTAAGAAAATACCTCTTAGTGTTGACATTTTCAATGCACACAAATGCTATTATGTTGACTTTGTCTGTGTCTGGAATTGCCTTTTCTCTCAAAACATATCAGATTTAGTAATTTGAGTTGTTCTTTGCTATCTGCTTGCATTCTAACAGTACAGGTTACTGGTCCATTTATATTGATGGATGTTTGCAAAAATGCTAAACAACAACAACAAAACAAAAAGCAACTCCCCGCCCCAAGCAACAACAAAAAAACTTTATACACTTTTCTTCTTGGCAGAACTGAGATTGAACCCAGGTCCCCACGGTGTATTTTAAGATATGAAATAAAAGGTGAGCACTGTGGCACATGCCTATAGTTGAAGCTTTGGAGAGGTGGAGTCAAGAGGATCAGGAGTTTGAGGCTAGCCTTAACTACATAGTGAGTTTGAGGCCAGCCTGGGTTACATGAGGCCTTATCTCAACCAAACAAAAGGATATGAAATAAAATGAAGTCGAATGAGAAGAATAAGGCATTTTTTATGTCGAGTATAAAAATGTCTGCTATGTCATTCTCCAGATATCCCCACATATTTGAAATATTTCATGGGTTAAGCATGTTTTAAAGTTCAATATTAACTCCCAGTGGTTACTGAGCAATGGGAAGATCCAGAAGCCTCATTGGCTATGTTAGTCAAGCAGCAGTGGGAAAATGACTGGGGTGATTCTCCCTACGGGATGCCCTGGGTGCAGCTTGGCCAAGGCCTCTCTGTATGTTGTGGTTGGGCTCTGGAGTTAGATCCGCATGAGTGGGCTCCCATTCTGCTTCCCACAGACTGGGTGTGAGGCTCTGGGCAAACTGCTTCCATTGTCAGTCTCTTTCTCTGTAAAATTGGGAAATTTACTCTATTAGGCAGAGCTGTTATGGAAATTAAATATGGTCACGCATGTAACAAGCAATTTTTCCAGTCTGTGTTTGAAGAGGGAAGCAGATCCATTCTGACTGACACTGAATCAAGGCTTTGTTTCAGGATTGGCTGTCACAGTTGTGGTTGAGAAAGAGAAGATGCGTGCTATGGTTTGACTGAGTCCATAAAATTCATATGCCAGTGCTACTTGAAGGTGAGAGTTTGGGGGAGAATAATAAGATTAGATGATATCAGTGGGGTGGGGCTCAGAGATGGCATTAATAGTTTTACAGAGACATGGAAATTCAAGGTACTAAGCTTGCTCTGTCTCTCCAAGTAATGCCCTCCACCAGATCCCAGTGCAACACAAAGGCCTGCTTGCACACTGAGCAGATGCTTGCACCGTGATCTTAGACACTCCAATCTCTAGAACCATAAACCAAATAAACTTGCATCCTTTACACATTATCCAGTTCCCAGCATTGTTATTTTGTTATAGCAACAAAAGATCTAGAAATGCATAGTTAAAAGATCAGAGAAAAGTTATCCATCAGGGACCATGTAGAGATAGATGTAGGTGTAAGGCTTTGCGTTTGATGGTAACTTGACGTTTCTATGCATCAGCAGGAAAAGCAGTGGGAACAGAACATGCGGAAGAGCACATAGCAGAGTGGAACTCACAGGAACAAAACTCAGCTCACGAAAGTCACTTGGGTTGCACGGTCAGGAATTCAGGGGTTATTAGGCCCAGTAGCTAAGCAGAAGCTTTTCTCAGAGGGCAGAGTCTGGTACCCAAGTCCTAAAGGTCTATGTTATGACATGTACTTTTAAGGACTTGCAAACTGTCTGTACAGCTTCCTTACCTTCCCAACACAAATGTGCATGCTGAATCCACTTTGGATGGAAGAACAACTTGTCCAGTAGCTTGGATCATTTTTGCAAAGTCTTCTCCTTTCTCAGCCTGCACTCAAGCAGTCCTTTAGTTACTCAATAGATACATAGAGAGAGCATGCCCAAAGGCTTCAGCTGCTTCCAGAGCTTTACCAGGCGTCCTGCTGTCTGCATGGTGTTCAAAGAGACCAGATGCTACAACTTTTCCACATTGGGTAAAACAGCTTCACATGGCCAGACCCAAGGCCCTTAGAAGTTGTACCAAAATAGCTAGGCCCTGAATTTCTGTGGGATCCATTTCCCCTGATCTGTTTGCATTTTCCCAACAAGATAACTAGAATAATAGCTGTTTGTGCTCATCAAGGACCAGTTTCCATTATATCCACAGCATGGCAAGCCATGTGTTAAAATCCACGGCACGTAGAGTGTGGAGGCTGCTAAGGATCCTATGATAAGGTTATCATCATAGACTGAGGAGTTGCAGGCCTGAGATGTGACAGTGGTTGTTGCCGAGTATGCTAGATAAAAACAAACTGATTCAGGTGGACTTTATTATAGGAAACCCAGGGGGAAAAACCAAATTTGCCAGATCAATAGCTGCCAGAAGTTGATTTAGTTTCCTTAGCAAAAGAACCACATCTGGAAAAATTGCATTAGTGTTATCATATCAGCCAATTAAGTTTATGATAATCCGCTGCTATTCCCTGTGGTCCCTGTATGTTGGCAAAGGCCAAATAAGCAGGTTGAATGGGGGATGTGACCAGATTCACCATGCCTGTTCTCTCAAAGTCCATCTTGCAGGCTCCAATTTCTGTGACGTCTTCAAAAGTTTCTTTACCCTTTTGTAGGTGGAGGGGGGTTCTACTGGCTTGTTTCACATGACTTGTTTCACCATCATGGCTTGTACTCTGTGAAGAAAGATACCAGCGTGGGATTCTGCTGAGAGCTTCTGAGTCTGTTTCTAAAAACCATTAGTTCTGGGGCTGAGGACATAGTTGCCTGGACTAGGGCTATGCCACTGTGAGATGGACCTTGCCCCTAACTCCACTGAGGCTCTGGTTGCTACGAACTCCTGTCCAGACAGTAAGTCACACTCTCTTTAAATTAGTATCAGTTCAGAGCCAATACCCAGTCAGTCCTGAAAGGTCTAGTAATGTCCTTATTTCTCCCACAGAGGCATGCTGGTTATATCCTCGATTGTCTTTGAGAAAAATCTGGGGGTCAGGCAGATTTATTATTGTAGACATATTTGTTGAGCAGTAGGTTTTTTCCTGAAGGGATCTACACCCTTTGTGGTCATGTGGACATGAGGCTGGGGAAGGATCCAAGACCAGGAATCAGTTGAGGCCTGTGATTCCTGGCTGTGCTCAAGTCCCTCTGTTAATGGAATCTAGAGCTTTTCAAGCATATGCAAATCAAACAAGACTTGGGTTGCTACACATCATTTGCAGCTTAAGGCATATCAAAGTCAAAGAGCCCTCCTGGTGAAGTCTTTCTGGTGAAAGCCCTGCCTCTGCTTTCTATTAGTGACTATACATTGTCTGTTTGGTGTCTGTCACATCTCTATCTCACCCATGAATTTTTCAAGCCCACTACAGTCACAGCAGTTCCTAGGCATTTTATGAGACATGAACAAATGTCTGTTTCCCAACGACAGATCAGAGAAAGGATTCTAGCTCAGTCTAGCTTGGTGAACCCGTGAGTTCTTTTGAGGCTTCTTACTAGACCATGGGTGTTTTAGTCAGGCTTCTCTAGAGGAAAAGAACCAAGGGATGAATATATAAATATACGTATACATATATATCATATGAAAGAGAGAGAGAGAGAGAGAGAGAGAATGAGAGAGAAACTTGTGATATTTTAAGGTGTTAGAATTTTTTAAGACTATGGGACTTTAAAAAATTATGATATTGTGCTGGATAGTTTTATGTCAACTTGACACAAGCAAAAATAGAGGAGGGAACTTTCAATTAAGAAAATACCTTCATAAAATCAGGCTGTAGGCATTTTCTTAATTAGTGATGATAGGGGAGGGCTCAGTCCACTGTGGGTGGCGCCACCCCTGGCTGGTGATCCTGGTTTCTATAAGAAAACAGGCTGAACAAGCCAGGGGAAGCAAACCAATAAGCAGCACCCTCCATGGCCTCTGTATCAGCTTCTGCCTCCACATTCCTGCCCTATTTGATTTCCTGTCCTGACTTCCTTTGATGTTAAACTGAGATATGGAAGAGTAAGCCAAATAAACCCTTTGCTCCCCAACTTGCATTTTGGTCCTGGTGTTTCAGCACAGCAAGAGGAACCCTAAGGCAGATTGTAATGTTAAAATTATAAAAGAGGAAAGGGTGAAGATCTTATTAATGCGTTTGTGTGTCAAGTGGACAGTAATTGTAGTGGTTGAGTAAGAAGGGCCCCCATGGGCTCGTATATTTGAATGCTTAGTCATCAGGGAGTAGCACTATTTGAGAAGGATTAGGAGGTGTGGCCTGTTGGTGGAGGTGTGTCACTGAGAGTGGACTTTGAGGTCTAAAAAGCCCAAGCCAGGCCCAGTATTTCTCAGTCTCTGTCTGTCTCTGTCTCTGCCTGTCTCTCTCCACCTATGGCTCAGTCTCTCTCTGTCTCTCTGTCTCTCTCTCTTTTTCTTTCTCCACCTGTGGATCAGGATGTAGCTCTTAGCTCCTTCTCCAACACTACACCTGCCTGCCACCATGCTCCCCGCCATGATGATAATGGGCTAAGCCCCTGAAACAATAAGCAATCCCTAGTTAAATGATTTCCTTTTTAAAAGTTGCCTTGGTCATGGTGACAGTTGTCCTGGTTGTTTTTTTGTCAACCCAACATAAACCTACAACTATCTGAGAAAAAGGAATCTTATTTAAAAGAATTCCCCCATAAGATTTGCCTATAGACAAATCTAAGGGTCATTTTTATTTTAATTTAATGATTGATGTAGGAAGGCATGGCCCACTATGGGCAGTACAATTCCTGGGCAGGTAGTCCTGGGTTATATTAGAAAGCAGGTTAAGCAGGCCACGGGGAGCAAGCCTGGATGTAGCATTTCCCTCATGGCTTCTGTTCAGTTCCTGCTTTGGCTCCTCAATGAACTATGCAAACCCTTTCCTCCTCACATTGCTTTTGGTCAAGGTGTTTTATCACACCAATAGAAATCAGACTAAGACAATGGCTGAGGGCACCTCCCAGGAGCAAATAGGTCAGTGATCATGTGTGTGTGTGAGCTGTGGTAACACTTGGGGCTTGGCAATAACCTTCAACAAGGATGATTGTACTACTTCCCAAATCCCACAACAGCTTTTCCTCTAGCCAGCCATAGCAGGCATTGTGCAAAGGAGTGGAGGTCTGGGAAATGTGTGAGCTCGTCTAGGCTGAATCCATGCAGAGAAGTCAGGGTCTGGGTGTACTTATTTGGAGAACGAGAAATTGAACACAAGGATTGGGACCTCGGTGTTGATGTGGAGAGAGTGCTAAAGAGGAACCATATGCAAACTGGAATATAGATTAGATTGCATTAATACAACGTGGAGGATTTTCCTCATAAAAATCAGGATCAGGAAGGTCAGAGGGAAAGGCAGGCTTTGTTCTAGAACATTCTGGTATTTGACAGTGATCACGACCCACCATTTTATCATAAAGTGTTTTCTAGTACATAAAGGGCTTTTTTTCTTTTGCATGCATTGACCTTCTGTTTGGTTCATTCATCCAGGAAACATTTCTTGAGTATCTGTTTATATCAGATGCTATGCTATGTTGCACCCCAGTACATCACATGTCTACAACAATGTTACCGTTGCTATTTGACAGATAAAGGAATGCTAGCAAAACTAGTGGGATACAAAACTCCAAAGAGATATGAGATGATGTTATCTTTGCTCTCAAAATCATGAAATAATAAAATTTTTGGTAGGGAGACACAAAACCAACAGTTTAAACAGGGTAGCTTGTATAGACTCCATCAAGACTACTCAATAGCCATAGGTAATGCAAAAATGAATGTACATGCCTGTGTTTCAGTAAAATTTTACTTAAAAAATAGTCATGACTATGTGCCAATAAAACTTCATTCACACAAACAGGTCATGAGCCACACACAGTTTGCCAGTTCCTTTACGGCAGAATCATGGTCCTAAGGGAAGACTACTTGTGTAAGCAGCTCATGATGGGGCTCCTTGGTCAAGAGGTATATATACAAAGGACTGCAGAAGCAGAGGGTGTAGCTGTTTAGGGGGACTTGGCAAGGTTTCCTTGGCAGCATTTCTGTGGCTTGTATTTCCAGGTCACTGCCATCGGAGAACCAGGAAATAGCTCTCAGACTGACACTGGATGGGACCTAGAGCCTGCTTCTTATCAGAACTCCTGTCTCTTTCCTGAGCTGAGTCTGTGATATGGGAGCTGTGGCCCACTCTCTGCCTCTTCTTCCTGTACTAGCCAGTCTCTAACACCTCCTGAAACCCAGTGTTCCTCAGCCTTGGCAGCGTAGAAGCTGAGCACTTGGCAAGATGATTCTAAATAATTGCTTCCATGCCAGAGTCATCCCAGAGCTCATCCTAGAGCTCCCAGGGTCTTAGTCCACACCTGTGGAATCATGCTTAGGAGTAGATTGGAGGTTTGACCTTACAAGGAGGTCTAACTCAGTACAAGCAAGAAATCTGTAAAACAACAGAAATGACCTCAAAGTGGAAGGGGCTGCCTAGGGAGATGATGGTAGTGAGTGAGTGAGAGGCTTGGGAAGCAACTAGACAACCATTTAAAGGGTAAATTCTAGTGTGAAAAGTCCCAGGTTTAGAGGTCTGTTGCTTGTCATTTTTTGCTAGCTCTGTCATCTTGGAGTCTTTCTTTGATTCTTTTGATTTGGAAATGGAGATTACACATCTCATAGGGCTGCTGTGATGATTAAAGAACATTATTCAAGTTCACAGCAAGTGCTAACATGGTGTGCAGCTGATTCAAACCAGCTTTAGTGGGGCTGTGACATCAGATTGGGTCTGGTGACCATGTTGGGGGAATAATTTTTGAGGTCTGAGGCTTACAATTCTTTGATACATGAATCTAACAAGAACTCTTTCTTCATTTACATGAGATTATTTCATAGTCTCCCAGAAATAAAGGAATGCAACTTCTTTTTGTGACATCCCTCACATTGGACACACATGATAGAATATTAACATAAAAGAATTTTATTTGGAGGGCAAAACAAGTATAGGACTTAGAAATGCTTTAATAGTTCCCATGCATGGAAGTCATTTTGGATTCCAACACAAAGTACTTTGTCAAACTGAATACAGTCTTGCTTTTTAAATACCTCTATTAACAAAGCTTCCATTAAGGCTCACAGGGAGAATCTTTAATATTTTTGCTTGGTCCCTATTTAAATATATATCATTCGATGAGTTGCTGTTAGGAATGGGACACTCATTTCTTTAAGTCCTACAAAAAATAAAAGTAACTGACTCTGTGGACAAAGGAAGATTCAATTTCTCTTTTTTAGTACAGGTGGGAAGAATGCTAAGAGAAAATTAGCAGAGCTTTGATTTTTACTAAAATCAAAGTAAAAAAAAAAAAGTCACTTTGTGTTGATGAGCCAGCAAGCTGAGGCACAGTGACCAAGCACTGTCATTCTGGCTAGCCAGTACAGAGAGGGGGCTCCTGGTTATTGTTGGGGGCAACACAGAGTTTTCTGAACCCAGATACAGAAAAGGAAGGACTCCCAGCAGGTGGGAAAGCCCCCCAGGAGGGCTGGCCAGGCTCTATGACTCACAGCTGCCCACTGTGTAGAAATTCCCCAGCCCTGACTTTTTCTTGGCCCTTAGGATTTGTTGTCCTCTGGCTTTTTCTGTTGTGCCTTGCCTTGGCATTTCTGGTTTTCTTTCCCTTTGCAACTCTCAGATCTCTCCATTGTGCACAGTGTCCTTGTGCAGCCTTAGTCATGCTGCCTCTCACCAGGCAGCCTCTGTGCTCTCCCTCCATGAATGCAGGTCACCTGGCAGAAGCGTGGTGGCTCAGTGGGGGAAAGGAAGCCTTGTCACCCTGGTTCTGGGCTCCCTGGAGAGCATTGTGTAAGGACTTTTCAG